AACTTGTTTGATTTTCGTCAACTCAAATAAATTTGGTTTTATTGAAACTGGTACCATCTCTGTATTCCCTCAAAAAATATTAATCAAATGTATGAATTGGTGATCTATAAAAAAATAATCAACCAGTATAGGAATAATATTGGGTGGTCGCTATAGTATAATATATGAAAAACAATTAATTTAATTTTAGACAAAATACATATTTGTGCTTTTGGTCACATGTGACTTTGTATATTTTTCTTTTTTCACATTCTGCCAAATTGAGCAAGCTAAATTAATTTAATAATAAAGTTGGAAGAACTTCATTGCCAGCCAAGATGTGTTTATTTGACTGACCACTTATTCGGTGAATTGGCAATTTGACTCGCAAACTCTAAATTAACAAATGGCAGATTTGTATAATTTTAATTGTATAACAGTAATTGAATAATTTAATTTTTTTTCTCCAGTCACCGGTGTTTCTGTTATTCTTGGCTTGCGTGTGGCAGTTAATGAATCAGTTTCCATCATCATTCAGTTTCACCGACACGTACTTGATTACGTTGTGGGACTGCTCACTCCATGGACTCTTTGAAACGTTCATTTTTAATAGTGAGAGACAGCGGTATCGTGCATTCATGACTGATCACAAGACGCATGCGCAGCTGGTGTCTGTATGGGACTGGTCTTTGCAGTTTAAAGAAGAGGACATTGCACTGTTTAATAACCCGCTGTATTGCGTCCATCATGGCCAACACTTAAATTGTCCTGGTTGTAATACGAACGATGTTAGGACTTTTGACCTGAAACTGGATCATGTGAATGAAAATGCAAATGAGGGTATCCCTGCGGAGAAGAAGTCGCCATATCGCAAACTAAGTCAATGTAATAAAATGACTGAGGAGAATTCGTCGTCCCAGAGGAAAATCAGTGTGAGTGGAGTTTCTAGGAAGAATGATGTCCTTATACCTGAAGTATCTGCACCAAATATTATATTCTGGACTCAGTGTTATCTACGTTGGGTGCCAAGTGTTCATATCGTGGGTGGTGGGCCGCCGTCAGAGTATCTACAACAGTGCATGGTTGCGGATGAAATTCATCAGCTACGCATGAAAATTCACAGTCTGCAAACTTCCACACCGCTAACGAAAACATCAGGTCGAGATAGTGGTCTGTATTTCTCATTTGATACACCGGCGAAAATGGTTGAGAATTTCACCTCAGCGTTTCCGTTTTCTCCGCGCACTTCCAGATTGTCTTCAATGCTTGGAGATGGTACCTCGTGGTTCAGTTCATCCGGTCTCTTTTTCCGCTCATCCTCAGTGTCTAGTTATGATGGTATACTCAAAGCGAGCGGTTCTATGTCCAGCACTAATACTAATGATGACATTGATGAAGCTGGGGAAATGTAAACAAGGCAATATAACATTTATTAAACCAGATCACCGCTGCTGTCAATTTCATCTATAAATATCCCATTACCACATCTGCTTGTGTGATCTTTGAGCATGTGTGTCCGGAAAGTCCATTATCACCGTTTTTGATTGTATAACCATTACTCTAATCATGCTAAATAACCTAAAACTTGACCATGCTGATTTGCAGCGAATGAAACCATAAATTACTGGCTGGGTACGAATAAGTATTAACTGTTGTGTGTCGCTAGAGAAATTTGTATTATATTTATTTTGTATTAATATAGAGACATTAGTGGATTTACAAGTTGACAGTACTTCCTCATCCTTCCAAGACGCATACTCCTGTTTAAAGTTTAAATTTAGGAAGAGTTTAGTATCATGTATAAATTAAATTGCTTTAAATAATACTGTGCTCATGAAATTATCTGCAAATATTATATTATTACCATTTATAACACTTGTTATGGGGACAAAATGGTATGCTTTTTCTACTAAGATTTGGAAAAGTTTGAAATGAAAAATACATATTCATGTTCCAATCACCAAATTGCCTTTGCCAATAATAATATTTTTTTTTTCTTCAAAATTTCATACATGTTTTTAAGAAAACTGAACTGAATCTCTACCGAAATATTCTGTATGATTGATGCAAATCTTAATATTTCAAATACAGACAGTGTCTTTAATTACAACAGTTTGATGTAATCCAAAACTGTGAATATTGATAAGGGTTTTGTCTACGTGGCGGTCCAAAGTCTCTTTTCAGACATACATTGACCAATTTCTGTCAGACTTGTTACCGAGACATTACATAAATGTCATACATGCATGTATGCACATAGATACATGTTTTTGATTCATCAGGAATGTCTGACTAACGGCCATTTTGAATGACTTTTATACTTGGACGTTTCTTGGAGAGAAAATTCTAATTATACTGTTTGTTGACAAAACACTTCATTTCAGGTGCATGTTACTTTAGTGATCCGATTAAATATGGCCGACTGATGACCATATTGATTTATCGAGCATGCATTGAACAATTGTGTTAAAAATTTCGACACTGACAGTGCATCGAATAATACATCGTATTTTACGAGAAAAATAGCAAACGTTAACATTTTAATACATGTTTATATACTTTTGGTACGTGGACAAACTTATCTGTGGCTTTTAACGTAGAATATTCAAACACTACCGGGGTAATAGTAGTGTCTCTGAATCTGTACAGCTAATCATTTTAGTATTAGTCAGCAATATATAGTGTATATATATAATTATTTCACTCAATATCACAGCAAAATTTTGAGATATATCCTTGCCATGGGAAACAATAATAGAATGACCGAAAATTTTGGTTAATTAGTTCTCGTTCAACCAAAGTTCGAAACATGGACTTATAATTTGGTCTCTGTTTGTCTGTCTGTCCGGAGTCATAATTCAGAACCTTGTGAACCAAATTTGGGACATGTGCACGCACAGTGGTTTACTGATTCAATCCAAGATGGATGGCTGACTGACTGACAGCCATTTTGTTTTTAGCTCCGCTGTCGACTTTGTCGAGCCGAGCTTATCATATGAGTGATTGTCCGTCGTCCGTGTCAATGTTTTACTTTTTCATCTTCTTCTTGAAAACTACTAGCCTGAATGCTTTGATACTTGGTGTATATGTACCTTGAGTAGACCTCTCTTAGGTTTGTTCATTTCATGTTGATATCTTCAAGTCTCTAATTTAGGTCAATATTTTTGTCACATTTGGTAAAAAGTGATATTTTCGACTTCTTGTTAAAAACCACAAGTCCAATTGATTTGTTATTACATATATAAGTACTACATGTGGACCTCTCTCAGATTTGTTCATTTTGTAATGATATCTTTAATTCTCTAATTTTGGTGAATGTTTTTGTAATTTTTAGTAAAAAGTGATATTTTCGACTTCTTGTTAAAAACCGCAAGTCCAATTGCTTTGTTATTACATATATAAGTACTACATGTGGACCTCTCTCAGATTTGTTCATTTTGTAATGATATCTTTAATTCTCTAATTTTGGTGAATGTTTTTGTAATTTTTAGTAAAAAGTCATATTTTCTACTTCTTGTTAAAAACCGCAAGTCCAATTGCTTTGATATTACATATATAAGTACTACATGTGGACCTCTCTCAGATTTGTTCATTTTACTTTTTCGACTTCTTCTTGAAAACTACAAGCCTGAATGCTTTGATACTTGGTGTATATATACCTTGGGTAGACCACTCTTAGATTTGTTCATTTAATGATGATATCTTCAATTCTCTTATTTTGGTGAATATTTTTGCCATTTTTGGTTAAAAGTGATATTCTCGTCGTCTTGTTAAAAACTGCAAGTCCGATTGCTTTGATACTATACATATTGTTCATTTTCTAATGATGTCTTCAGTTCTTTAATTGAAATGTGCATTGCTAACAGCGGAGCTATCTCAGCCGATAGGCTGCTTGTTGTGAATATTTTTGTAATTTTTGGTAAAAAGTGACATTTTCGACTTCTTGTTAAAAACCGCAAGTCCAATTGCTTTGATATTACATATATAGGTACTACATGTGAACCTCTTTCAGATTTGTTAATTTTGTGGTGATATTTTCAATTATCTAATTTTGATGATTATTTTTGTCATTGTTGGTGAAAAGTGATACTTTTGACTCCTTGTTGAAAACAGCAAGTCCCATTGCATTGATACTATACATATTGTTCATTTTCTAATGATATCTTCCGTTCTTTAATTGAAATGTGCATTGCTAACAGCAGAGCTATCTCAGCCGACAGGCTGCTTGTTTGAAAATGTGGTATCTAATGCATGCTTCATAAATTTGTTTTCAAACTTGGTACATACATTGTACATTTTAGGTTATATGTCTATGATAATTTATTTTACAATCAGATCAAAGATGACTAACTAACTGTGCTTTTGGTTCATATTACTTTATTTTTGGCATCAATAACATTCCCCCTAATTTCAACAGGGACTTGTTTTTTTTCTAAACTGAGTCTGGTAACATTTTTTTTTTTTTTTCATTTTCACATTGCTTAAAATGATAATATGCAAATTCCTCAATTGACTCCTTTAATGTTCAAGTGTGTGACACCGTCCAAAAACTTACGGATTAACATGTGTCTGTATATCTGGACATGCCTGGACCAATTACATTCAAACTTCACACGTACATCATGCATAATATTATACATATGCACATCAATTTGTTTCACGATGGCTGAAAAAAAATCATTGAAATCAAGCATTTCTGGAACTGGATCTCAGCTGTTTACAGGTGGATTTTGTTCAAACTTGGTGCATACATTGGACATTATGGGACTTGGATGCACATTTTGTTTTTAGTTTCATATCTCTGACATGCTTTGACGATCTGATTCAAAAT